AAACTACAAGAAAGTCAACAAGAGTGGCTAGAATTACAAATGGAAAACATTAGTAAATTTAAAAGCGAATTAGATACGTTAAAGGACGACTTTTTGTTATTTACACAAGGAGGATACATTGACCATCGACTTAATCAGCCCCAAACAATGGCAAGCCCCTTACAGAGCCCGCAGCTAAACCCTAATGCAGACATATTCAGTCCCGTTAGAAGTCACATCCCAGATATAAATGTCAGTACTAGGAGTGATCCAGTAGGAAGGAAGCCACAGGAATACAATGGGAAAGCACTGTGGGAAGCATATAGAGCACAGTTTGAGCTACTGGCAGAGATGAATGGATGGACAGAGGAGCAGAAAGCTGTATATCTGGCAACGAGCTTGAAGGGACAACCACTGGAATACTTGGACAGTTGACAGCAGCCGACAGACACAACTATAGAGCACTGGTGTCGGCTCTGGAACTCAGGTACGGAACCCAAAACCAGTCAGAAGACTACATGGCCAGGTTCAGGACGAGAATCCGTGCTAAAGGGGAGAGCCTGCAAGAGCTGGCACAGGACTTGGAGAGCATGGCACACAATGCCTACCCAACTGCATCACCCGATGTCCTCAAGTTGTTGCTGAGGGATCAGTTCGTCGATGCCTTGGATAGTCCACAACTTAAGATACAAGTGAAGCAAGCACACCCCTCTACCATGCAGGATGCAATGGCCAGAGCTCTCGAATTTGAATGCTACATTAAGTCCAGCACAGAGGTACCAAAGTTGGTACAGTCATCTGGATTCAAGGTCAGAAAAGGTCAACTTTCAGAGAGGTTTGAGGAACTTTGCTGGCACTGTAATAAACCTGGGCACAAGAGAGCTCAACGCTGGAAACTTCAGCACAGGGGAGAGGATACAGCAGGAAAGGCTGCTACCCAGAAAGGCTTTTGGAACTGTGTGGAGCAAGGACATCTGAGGAGCCAGTGTATTTGTTTGTTTGTTTTTGTTTTTTAATTATGCACAAAGCTACACAAGGGCTATCTGTGCTCTGCCCACCACGGGTATCGAAACCCGGTTTCTAGCATTGTAAGTCCACAGACATACCGCTGTGCCACTGGGGGGCGAGACAGTGTAAGAAAAATACCACCAATAAGTCAGCTTCGGGAAACCTGTAGTGGTTGGTGCTAAGGGACGCCCACCAACCTCCATCGTGAAAGTCCCAACAGCTAAGTGTAAAATGGCAAGCACACATAGTATCTACGTGACAGGGAAGCTGGATGGCCAAAGGTGGCACTTTGTCATAGATTCTGCATCTCAGCAAACCCTTGTGAGCATCAAGGTGCTGGATAACAAAGGAGTACCAGAAGCCATACAGAAGCTTTATGGTGTTACAGGACATTCTACAAGATTGTGGGGACCAGTGTGGGTGACTATCGAGCTCATGGGCATAATGGACAGACAGAAAGTATACTTGGCTGACATTGAAGACGGGTGCATATTAGGATTGGACTATCTACTACCGAGAAAGTTTGTAATTGATTATGATAAAATGACGTTCGGGAATAACAAAGGCCAAGTTCCGGTAACTGTTAAAAGAGAGGTTGAGCTGAATGGGTGCCATCGAGCTGAAGTCAAACCGACTGAAAGAGTTGATGATGGTGAAGTGGAACCAAATATAGATATCAGGGCAGAACAGAAGAGGGACCAGGATTTGAGGCCAATGACTGATTTTCTAAAAGAGAGTGTCGTGCGCCCTGCTTGGGAGAAGATGTCTAGTCTAAGCCCCGTGACAAAGCACTATTGGGCACAATGGGACTAGTTGAAGCTTGAAAATGGCATTCTTGTCCGGAGATGAGAAACTGCAGATGGGAAAGTGACGACTTCGCAAACAGTTATACCGAGGAAGTTACGGGAAGTTGTGCTGTGTCAATCCCATGATACTTTAACAAGAGGACATCTCGGAATTAAGAAGACATTGGGTCACCTACGACAAAGATTTTACTGGATAGGTATGAGGCGAGATGTGGAAGAATGGTGCAGGACATGCAGTACATGTAGTGCAAAAAGGGGGCCAAAGCATAAGGGACACCCACCTTACGAAGAGTTGCCTGTGAATATGTCAGAGTTTGTGGAAGTGTTATCGGAAAGGATGGATGATATTCACCATCAAGTGCGTTCAAACTTGAAAACGTCTACTGATTCGATGAAGTTAACTTATGATAAGAGATCTACTGAAGTTAGCTTTGAACCAGGAGACAAGGTGTGGTTGTATAATCCCAGGAAGAACAAAGGGAAGTCTCCTAAGTTGTCTTCTCCATGGGAAGGCCCATATGACATAGTGGATCGTCTCTCAGGCGTGACTTTCCAGGTAAAATGTGGTCGGCGAGGTAAACCAAAAGTGGCGCATGGCAACAGGCTTTGGCGTTATCACGGTCCAGGACATTTCAGTTGGGATGAAGTGGACCACAGAACAAATGACGCCGCTGAAGACGTGACACCT